GAAACCACACCGCGTGTGAAGTACACTTGGTGGATGTCCCAGATCATGTCGAGCTTGGTGAAGATCAAGAGGTCCCCGTCGCCCGTCAGGGAGACAGGCAGGTCGGTTGTGTCCTTCTCGTTCAAGTCGGTCCATGATGTACGTCAGCCGCTTACTAGCTGCCCTCAAGAAGAGCTGCGACTGCGCAGAATTGGCAAAGAAGGTCTCGAACACCTTTTTGCAACTGGCTTGCAACGTCACGCCAGGACAGCTGTCTCGCTCCACGAGACACCTCCAGCTTGAACACTCCCAGGGTGTCGTCGTCCAAGCGCGAGGAAAGTGCGCAGACACTTGTGGTAGGGGGGGGGGGGGAAACTGCTTGTTGGCATCCACCTTCTTCTCAACATACCCCCAGAACCACATCCAGGCATTCTCGCTCCAAGTTTCATCGCGACGGCAGCAGGGATCGCAGAGAAGCGAACATCGCGGACGTAAACTCGAAGTGTGACCTTGTCGCAGCAGGCCAGCGTTAGCGCCAGGACGTCGCACTCCTCCAACATGCGGTCGATGTTGCTGACGTACGGAACCAGGGACTGCATGGCATACAGGATGTCCACGAACCATCTCCGATCCCCCACCCCCATGATCGAGGCGTAGCTGCTCAAGCTCGAGCCCAGCTGCACAGCTAAGCTCTGCAGCTGCTCCGCTGCGGCCTCTGCTGTGGGCCTGTGCCATGGCTCCCTCTCGACTAGAGCGGCCACATACTGTGCAAGCACAGGAGGCAGGGTCGACATCTCGTTTGAGTCGATTGGGTTGCTAAAAATTGCGTCGAGCAGCGGGGCATCCTTGGGTGGCTGAAGGACATCACACAGAGACTGCCCGGCAGAGTAAATGTCGGTCGACGTGTCAAACTCTTGGCCTGCCAACAATTCAGGCGAGGCGTACCGGACGTCCCCGCGTCGTGCTGCATGAGCCCCTCTCTCAGCTGTCAGATTCACCGCCGTGCCGAAGTCGGCAATAACTGCCCTGTAGGACGTCTGTCATTGCCCCTGTGGCTTGAGGGGCTTCCTGCGGAGCCCTTGCTTGCCAGGTGCCGCCGGGCAAGTGTTGCAGCACTATAAATGGGACCATCATCCTAAGCCTATAGGCTTAGGATGATGGTCCCATTCACGGGGTGCTGGTCACCGTGCAAGCGGATCAGGTTGATGACGTTCGGGTGCTCACCCAGTGTCTGTAAAATCCGTTCCTCAACTAGAACTTCATTTCTGTCCCCACATTTGCTCGTCTTGTGAGCATAGCCATCCACAAGCCACACTTCACAAAAATTGCCCGTGACGAGCAGCTTGGGCGCTTGCCTTGCATGGCTGGTCAGCAATGTTGTGTTGAGACCGTTTGCCTGCAGCTTTGTCAGCACCGGCTTCTTGCGCAGCTTTCCTTGGGTCGCCCAAAAAGCCACTGGGGGCTTCGGCGAGTTCGTAAGAACCCGGCCCTGGACCGCCATGCCGCGGAGGCGGCGGGAACCTCCTCGCCCGAGACAAAGCCATGCCACAAAAAAACACACACAGACAGCGTCAAGTTGCGACAGCTATAGAAGCTTCGACCTAACAATAGTGTTGAAAGATTGGCTGATCTTGGGTACTATCTATACCGACGGTAAGAAATAGCTGCTGCAATCATGGGCAGTGGAAGTTGCAACGTTCCGTTTGTAGTGAACATCATATGGCACGGTCTAGGCATTATGGGCTGTCCATGCATGTTTCTGAAGTGCATGTCATAACGATGCAGCTCACAAAAAAAGCCAAACAAGCGAGTCGCTCCAATCAGTGCCATGCTTTGCTCTTGCCTGCATACAGTATTCAGTCTGGTCTCCATGCAAGGCCGTGCCCTACAGAAGCGGGTCCCCGGCGAACCGCTTTTGCAAGTATCCTTGTCAAATCCGCTGGTGATGTAGCAGTACGAGAAGCAGAAGACAAGTCACTTGGAGCCGTCAGTCAGTTGGAGATGCTTCGAATGTCTCCATGTTGCAAAAATTGTGTCCTCATTGACATTTTCATTTCGACCGTGCGACTACTTACCGAGGAGGGATTTGCAAGGTATTCTCCGTTGCAGCCCTGTCGTGGAGTTTCCCTATATGTGCGTATATATATATATATATACATACACATAACAGTACACGTGCACTTGGGGCTTTCTGAATAAATATGAAAAGTGATGATTGTGAATTCTTGCGTGGCTGTACACTGTAGTCACTGTAAACGGAGTGCATACGATCGGATCGGCCTTCTCTCTCATTTGCTGAAGCGCACGTCCAGCCAACGGCCATCTCTTGTCGATACCAAGTGCGCCGAACAGCGCACTGAACGAAACCACGTCCTTGACAGCTCTCTTCAACATCTGGTGACGCGAGGACCAAAGCTAGCATGTAGTAACTCAATGGCGGCTTCTCAGCCGGCCGGTAGCTTGCATGAGGTGAGTATACCCTCGCTGCAGGCCCTGCTTGCCGAGCCGCTGCTTGTGCCCGAGCACCTGGACAGGTGCAGGAAGCCTCACTGCACCCCTTAGAAACATCTTTGTTGCGCCTTGAGACCGAGCGGGTGAAGGTGTGGACATGTCACGGCTTAAAGGCTGCCCTGGAATCCCGAGCGGCACTAGCGCCTTGCAGCGCTTGCAGCAGTGACAGCGCTGCTTCCCAGGATTGTGTCGATGCTGCGGCGTTCCAGTCTGCACTCAAGCTAAGTTGGGTCAGGCTGGACACTCATCAAAACATTTCCGCAAGGGGATCGACACGTCCATCTGTCTTTCTAGCATCAAACCTCACCAAAACGTCAAGTCGCCGAGCCCCTTAGGCCCTCGCTGTTGACGACTGCGCGATGTCCCACCAAAGCATCCTGCACGTGTTTGCACGCAGCTCTGCTGATACCTGCTGCATGTGCCATCCGGTGCCCATTGCAGCGACAACATGAATCAAGCACACGAGGCGTGGTTTCATGCTGCATCCTGCAGCAGTTGTGAGGCCCGCTGCCAGGAGTTCCGGCATGCGACGATGGCAGCATTGAAGCCTTTGAGATGAGGTCGGGCTCGACATCTTATTTAAAAAAGCTGAGTTCCAGAAAGACCTGACTGTCGACCAAAGCCGAGCGGCTAACGGCGTCTGCCTCCAGAAGAGAATCGTGCATCCCGTGCAGCAGATGCAACGCTGCCTGCTGATGTCACAGCCAGAGCTCATATTAGCCCGAGTGTTCCTGTATGCCCGCTTCAAGCAAGGAAAAGCAAGATATGGCAAGGCAGACACATGTTAGTGCATCCCCACCGAACCGAAAGTACCCAGACTGGCTCGGCTGAGTGCCTCCCATTGTTCTGATTTGCCACAGGCACTGATCGCGGTGTTGAAAACAACAGTATCCGCGGCAACCTCGCGGGCACGCGAACACTCATCATATAGAATCTTCTGCAAGGAGCACAACGACGTACGTGGCCTTCCATTCGGGCATGCCGGCGAGGAGTGCAAGTGCCACCTGCCAATGGTTTCCTGCCGTCAGTCGCACTTTGTCCACCGAGACGGACGAACGTGGCGTGGCCGTATGCTTGGCATTGCAGCTACAGGACTCTGCCTTTCTCACAAGCGCTGATGGCTGCGGAGAAGCTGAATCTGGGCTGGGGGCGATTCGAGGTTGCCGACTCCAAACCAATTACACATCGAACGCAAGTATGAAAGCGCATGACAAGGCACTTGTTAGGCCAAAGGCCATGCTGCACGATCTTTTGGAGATGGTCTACCGCAAAGCGCCTGGGCCGACACTGAGTGCAGGAACTTGGGAGACGTCGCCCCCTGAATGAATTTGCCCTTCAATCGTGCCCACGGCGCCAATCACCCGTTCTGCCGCATGCATTCAATACCTAAGTTTGGCAAAAGGGCGGATTATGAGCATGCAGTCATGTTCACGACCGTCTCGCCGACGACGTGGGCTCCGCACACGCAAACAGAGCATCACAGAGCTATACATGCTATACAGTAACCGGCCAAATCAGGCTTCAAGCTGCTGCGTTGAGGTGGTAGATCTGTGGCCTAAGATTTGCCCTCACGAGGCCCTCGAGCTGCCAAAGAACCTCGTTACGAGCACTCCACGCTACTGCAGCGGTCATCGCATTGCTGGGCGATTGGGCCTCCTCTGGTGGAGCCTGCCTCGCCAGTCGGCTCAAGGCCGCCGCAGTGTCGCCGCTGTGGCGCGGGGAAGGCCGCATCGCACGACCATGACCGGCCAGTCGCGCGACGGGTCGACTGCAGCTACCCGAGCCAAAACAGCCCCTGACGAGTAACGCTGTTATCGGGCAAACTTATGCAAAGCGTATCTGCTTCACTGCCATTGTAACACATCGCGAAAGCGGCTGAGTTTTGACCAGCGACCAGACATGACCAAACATTGACAGCAGTCTTGCCACTAGCTCCATGACAGCATGCGAGAGTCCAAGCAAGCCAAGCTCGTTGCAGAAACTCCAGGTGAGCCTCTCCGGAAGTCACATCAAGATGCAGCGAGCAAGACTCTGCTGGCGACACCATGCCAATGTGGCCAATATGTGAGCAGATGACGACTGAGCGAGCAAGGCCATACGGCTTTTCTGCAGACAGCACCTAGTTTGGAACAACTCTCTTTCGGATGTTGCCCGTACCCCGGTCTGGCCTTCCATCACTCGTCACGCTTTAACAGTCCAATCCTCGAGAAGCGAATCACAACCTACCGCGCGACTCACACAGCTTGAGCAGCCCGCATGCTGGGTTCGAGACTGGGCACGGAGACCGCCAGACATTTTCATTCGGGCCGCATGTCAGGAGCTGCGGAAGCACGTGCAACAGAAATCCTAAAGGACCGAATCAGAGGTGTGCGGGTTACCGGCGTCTCGGGCTGCACTAGGAGCGTAAACCAAGAAAGAAATTAAATTCATCTCATCTTATGAAGCATCTTGCAAGCATGTCAGAACGGATGCATGGAGGGAGCGGGATACCCCCAGCAATGCGTAAGCGCGCTGGGAGATCGTGCCTCGGCATAGCAGGGCTAAGCTTCTAAGTTGGCACGGCGGGTCTTCTGCATGAAGTACTGACGTGCTCGATGCGGCTTTTGCACAGCTGGCTTCTTTTCTCCACTTTCAGCACTCCGCACCAGGTACCGAGGCGCTTCCTCACGAAGCGCTGCGAGGCCGCCCAACAAGCACACCACATGCCTTTCGAGTGTGAAAGTTTTCCAGGTATTCCTGACCCACTCACTGAATGCAAGAACGACAACAGCTTCATACCCGTCACAAGAGCCAACTGCGGCAGCAAGATCTTGTCGATAAGCTCAGCTCAGTCACCGGATACCTTCGCTCCGAAGTCGTTCCGCAAAGTCGGTGCCCAAGTCTTCCCCACCCACCACGACCACCTCAACATGCAAAGGGTGTTTGTGACGCAGCAACAAGACCGTCGCCTGAAGTACTTCCACAGTGGGCTAGTGGGCAAAAAGAAAAGTATGGTACACATATGAATGGCGAACACATCGCTCGTGCACCAGTAGCAGATAGAAGAACACTCGCATGTTGGGTGACGGCGCCCCGCAAGCGTCAAATCTTCACTCAGAAACATCTAACTAATACAATCAAGCTATCCCATTGATGGCTAACCGCGGCTAACCGAAGTGAGGTACAGTCGCCGTGAATGGTGTCTTGACGAATCCATCTGTATTCTTGCAATTTGCATGCGTCATTGCCACTTCAAGCACCACTAACAGGCACTACCAGGTCGGTGTGTGTGTGTGCGTGTGTGCGTGTACGTGTGTGGGCTTTTCTGGGCGGGGTGGGTTGGGGGGTGGGGGTGGGTTTGGAACCCGTTGCTGCATGCAAAAGCTTGAAAGTGTGGGAATCACACGTGCTTCTTTCCAGTTGCCTTCCTCACCCGGAATTTGGGAGCTGCCAGCGAGAGAACTCATGGGCTTGGACGACACCACCGGAGCAGATGGAGTTCTAACCCCAAACGGATCCTCAAGAAAAACGAGGCTTAGGGTCGCCCCCCTCTCCCGTCCTAGGACCGAGCAGCACGACGACAACGACGCAAACCATGCCGAGAGTGCGGTAGAGGATCTAGAAGTTCCGAAGGCCAAGCCATAACTACGACAACCGCGATCGCGACCCTCTGCTCTGCTGGCACGACAAATCAGCCCTGTAAGCGCATCTCTGTAATAGTGTTGTATACATGAATGTTCTGAGGAACCGCGGTGAGTGCGATATCGTTTGTGGAGCATGCCAGAAAGGGAGACAGAGCCAGAGAGACAAGAGAGAGGAACTACAGAAACTAGAACCGTTAAGTGACCTCCCTGGCCGACGCCCAGTATGGCAAGACACAAGACGCGGCCGGAGATCCTTGCCCAGCCAAGGAGGCGCTTCTTCAGGACCTCGGAGGGTGTTACGCCTTCTGAGGTGTTACGAAAGAGTTCCACTTCTGCCAGCCGACACTGCACAGACGACGATCTACAGCTGCACTCCATCGAGTTCTCTCTGGAGCTTTTGAGTTCCGAGCTGCTGGAAGCGAGCGGCTCAGATGCAGCCGCACTTCCTCAAAGGCACCCGTACGTTTCAGAACTTGGGAAACAACGCCTGCTAGTTACCCGTTGAGCTGTAGCTTTCTTGCCTTCAGCACTTGCTTGTGCTCCACTTGCTGACGTGCTTGTCTTCTGCAGGGAGGACGGTGAAGGCGTACCGCACTGCGCCCTCAGACAAGAGGCACGAAAGATGGGAGGCGCCGATGTGCATCGAAACTCATCCAAAGTCAGAAAGAGTCATATCCGAACCTTCTTGAATCAAGCATCACTAGCTCTTGTGGCAAAGTCCTCAACAAGTCCAGGACGTCTGCATCCTTAACGTGGATACTGGATTGGAAGTGGCAGTCGGCGAACTCCTCGCTTGAGCGCGCATCCAGCACATAGCAGCAGCTTCGAAAGCTGAGGAGGTCGTCCACGGTGATGATGGGAGGAGTTGGGCTGTTGTTGATTCTCTGCCGCCACCACTCGCACTGGCGCCACTGCTCCGTGGCATGCTGCAATAGCTGTTGGTGTGGAGATGTCTCACCGTCTTTAAGCCCGCTTGGATCAATCTTTGGATCAACGCACGGGTCCATCGAAATTGAATCAAGATATCCTGAGTTCTGACACAGCACTTGAAAATGATTGATCAGCAACCCAGGATAATCCAGGCAACTCATTCGTTAACAGTAGCAAACTGGTCGGCATGGAAAGATACGACTTTCAACCAAGGGTCCCCAATCGGGATCTGCTGCTGCCATCGCGGTAGAACCATGCTCCCACAGAAGCGCCTCGCCGGCAGAATGCCGCGGGAACACCGGCAGCGTCACAGAGGCCGGAGTGGCCTGGACTCGGCTAAGTCACAGAGCCCCTACACAGGCGAAGTCGCTGGGATGCACGCGCCTGAAAAAGAGCGAGCGCAGAGGAGACCAGCACTTGACAGTCGACGAGCTGAGCACAACTGGCCAGGAAACTGGCGACATGGGACGCTTCCTGCGAGGCACGCTCAGAACAACAAGTCTCATGCTAACAGACCTCAGTTGCAGGTCGTGCGGCATCCTCCAACGCCAACAAGGACAGCCGGAAGAAATGCACCAAGCAAACCTCAGAGTCGAGTTGTTTCCGGCAACTGACACAACTCGGAACCTTACCTGCTTTCCTTGAGGGCCTCTGACCTCGGATCAATAAAGTATAATAAAGGGATGTTTGTAGTGGCAGAGACGCGGGAAAGCGTTGGAGTTGCAAACATTCGTCCTCACGGCACCCTTCTAGTGTATTAATTGTGATGGAGGAGCTCCAACGAAAAGCGAAAACTGCGGCGGCCGCAGGAGCAAAGCGTCCCACAAACGCACAGCCTGCATACTGCACACAGCGAATGACATGGTGGAGGTCGAAAGCATGCAGTCTGGCCCGTGTGGCCTGCGATTGTGGAAGAAGCTGAGCGAACCAGGTAGAGAACCAATCGCTCGCGTAAGCCTGCGAGGTGAGACCGCAATGGAGAAACTGACAGGTAGCTATGTTCCATGTCCAAGCTCTGAGCCACGCCTCCGGTTCCATGCCCAGCTCCTGCAGATGAAGCGCCAGGATTGGATCGGCAAAACCGAGCAGAGCCCCAAAGAGTTGCAGATAGTGCCTCAGCCAGGGCCAGGGCAGTTGTTGGGGCAGGGGAAAGTCTGCGCGGCTCTCACTCTGCTCTCGGTGCCTGCGCTGTGCTTTGCCATCGCGACCGTAGAGCGGCCAAAGAAAGCCGTGGAGGATACGCTGCGCTGCCAAGAAAGCTGCTGCCTCCTCAAGAAAGGCTGCAAAACACACCCACACAGATTCTCGGAGGATGGCAGAGCACCTCGGCACCGAAGACGGCGGCAATGGGCTGGCACAATACCCCCAGGCCTGATAGAGGCCAACGAACAGTGCGAGTTGCAGAAGTTCTTGCACATGTCCAAGGCCTGCCGCGCAGCGCAGTGAGGGATTGGAGGTCAGCAGGGCCCGGACCTCAGCGCATGCTGGAAATTGAAAGGGCCAAGTGTCAAAAAGACTCCTCGACTATGCGAGAGATGGTGTGTCTAATTGTGCCTTCAAGTCGCAATTCTCTCGAGCCTGGCAATGACTGAGCCCACATTGTGGGACTCGCCTGTCTTTACTTACAACAGCACAGAACTCAAGCATGGACTGCAGCCCTCGCAAGCATGTTGTTGCCCACCTCTTCTGATGCCTTGGTGCTTTTCTTGCCAGCCTGCTGCTGCACATCGCAATGTCAGATATATGCTAGTGCTACTGCTTTTCCGTACGGCTCCTCTCGCAGGCTCCGACGTTCCCCACGCTACGTCAGAAATTTAACACACCCAATGAGTATGCACGATACCACTGGGTCATCCATTATGCAAGACCCTGCGGGCATCTTTAGTCCTCGACCAGGCCTTGGATGCAAACCATGGCTGTTTGCAGGATGTCCTCCTGACGGCTAGTGCGGCTTGGGAAATGCCGGGCCAAACCTGAAACTCGAGGCACAACCCGAAACCAGAGTTGAAAATCACTCGGCCGAAGTTGCATATTATTGCATATCGCATCCCGACTCTCCTTAGTCCTGGAAGCCTACAGGCATCAACGTGTCCTCCGCAGCTGGAGCTGCCAAAGCATTCGAGCTGGCGCGATGGCCCAGTAGATGAGCATGGCCCAGTTGATCTTGGTGAACTAATTTAAGGCGATGTAGCTCAACAAGGTCAACCCAAAAACCTGAAAACTCAAGCTATAAAGCTCACCGAGCGGAAATGAATTGAAATCGGTAGCCACAGCTTTTCCATTTCCGGGTTTAGGCTGGGGCGGCAGAAAAGACTTGACATGTCATGCAGAAACGCTAGCGTACAACATGATTCTCTTCCATCCAGCGCGTCTTCCCCGTCTTTCTGCAGAAGCCCCGTGACCCCGTATGCCGCCCAGGATGCAGAAGAGCCCCGCATGGCAATCCGACCCTGCTAAGGATATCGCACAGCACCCCTGCCCGGTCACCACCTCGCATTCAAACTAAATCTATTGCAAGTCTCCCCTCTTGATCGCCCCACCAGCCCCGATATTGCAAACGAGAACCGTAGAGGGGTTTCGGGAAAACGTACCGCATGTGCATGATATTGCAGGATACTCTTAGCCGAGCTACCTCGGCTCTTCAAAGGCGCAGTGAGTAGATTCCTCAGGCTTTGAGGGACTCTGTCGTGGAACACTCAAAATCTCAGGCAGACTAGGGGCTCATAGAAGGGTGCCCAGCAAGTCTGGTCCACGACTGAGGGAGCGCCCCCTAGCAAAGCCTCAAGCTGCACAGCTCGCCAAAAGCAGGGATTCTTCTGCCCACAGTTGCAGATCGCAAAGTTACCAAATTCCAGCAATTCGAATCAGTCCAGGCACGGACCAAATCTCGGAACGTAAAGCTGGTGGAATGTCCTCGCTGGCCTTGGGTATGGTTCTCTGTCGATGCAACGGGCAGCCACATATTCAGGTCTTCCAGCACACTGCAGCACACGTCCTACATGCCATCCCGCCGCTTCTCGAAATAGCTCCATGCGGTTGGTCCCTGCCAGCAGGCGGTGGAATCGGCGCACACGCAACCACTGATAGCCGAAGTGCTTCTCCTGCGCAGCTTCGAAAGTGATATTGCCAGTCACGTGCTTATGTAAGTAAGCCGCAAGCATCGCCAAGTCACGTGCTCTAATTACATCGACATCTTTGACTCCACTCCAGAGTGAAACTGCCAGCAAGTATTGCGCACACTTGTCTCTCGGCTCCCTGTCGTAGAGAGATGTCGGCTGCAGGCTGAGATGGTCCAAGCTGTGCCGGTCAGCTGCCGCGCAGGCGCAACAAAGCGAGTGTAAGCCTGGCAACAGGGAGCACAAGCAACAGCCACTGGTCCCACCCCCAGCAGCGAATTTATCCAAGAAGCAAACGCCAATAACTTTGGGCTTTGCTTCACATGGCGGATCCCAAAATTCCATCCCCTCCTGCGCAGGTGATGTTGTCATAGATAAGTCGTGGTAGCTTCCAGCGCGGCAACCCGCAAGAAGGCCAGGCCTCTGCTGCACTCGGCTTCTCAGTGCCTGCCACAAATTTATCGGTATTCGATGCTCGCGACTTGATTTGCATGTACCATGCAAATCAGGATTTAAGGCTTACGGCCCCGTCATTCGGGTTTTGTTTGCAGGGGTAGTGGTAGTAGTAGTAGT